TCACTCGTGGTTTAGGGCCGGCTGCAGGTGCTGGAGCTCATGCACCACCTGCTTTGGGAGAGGGAAGGGTTGAGGTCGGAGCTGCCTCTGGATTCCATGCGATGGGGGGGATTTCAGCCCCGAGGAGCTTCCTTGGGGGGAAGACAAGGTGGTAGATCAGGACCTGGTGTTGGAGTGGGGGAGAGGAGCAGCCCTAGTGCTGTGGGTGATGGCTCGCGTGGTTTGATCCCGGCTCTGATCCATGTATTTCCCTTCCAGGTGCTTCCATGCCCCCTTGCTCCTGGCTAACCAGCACCAGTTCTTCAGTGGCAAGCTTTATGTCCTTCTCCAGTAGCTAAAGCTGCCAGTTGAAGAACTGTTGAATGTAGCCACTCTCTTCTTGTCACTGGGACCTTGGATGCCAGCCAGACCCGTGCCCCGAGTGACCAGGATCAGCCAGTCTGAAGCGTCCTGTGGATTTGAGGGCTGAGGATGAGTCCAGCCGGGATGAAGAAGTCTCTCCACAGCCTCCAGACAGAGCCTTGGCTGGGGGATTGCCAGGCAGCCCTATCAGCGGGGTCCCGCTGCAGTGGGGTGTCACTGAGCTGAGAGGAGACCAAAAGAGGCATTAAACTTTCTGTTTTGCTCAACAGTTCAGTTTTAGGAAGTTTGTTGCCCATGGGGTGCCCGGACTTGCCTGGTGGGTAGATGGTGGGGGTTGTAAACCCTTTGGGGTGCTGGGGGGACCACAGCACCAGAGCTCAATCCCTGATGCCCCATTGGGGTCTGCAGGTGGAGGGTTGGTTGTTCAGGTCCCCTGGGTTTGCCCCGAGCCAGAGGTGAGCCAAGGCTGGGCGTAGCCCACAGGTCTGACCTGCTGTTGAGCTCAGGAGCTGGATTAATCCTGCGACATGCCAGGCAGTGGGATGGAGCCTGGGGAGAGGGCTGGCTCCACACCCACGCTGCCCTGGTGCGGGTCAGGGCCGGCTGCGGTGGGGCCGGGCCACTGGGAGAGGGTGACTCAGGTCCGAGTCACGCGCAGCTCTGGAGCCTCTGGACGTCTGTTCCCGGAACCACTATCTGTCCTGTGAGGCTGAGCAGCCCTGACTGTGGCTGGCCCTGGGGCAGCACCAGGATTCCAGGTATTTTGGAGCCAGCAGCACTGAGAGGGGCCCGGGTGAATCTTGCAAGGCTCCTCCATGGTCCAAGCTCTGCCTCGTTGGTGGATAGAAGCAGAAGACTTCTCTGAAAGGAACCTGGAAGCTGCTCTCCAGGGATGGCAACCCCTCCCTGCCTTGCACTGAGTGAGAGAGAAGCTCTGTGTGGCCACAGCAAGGGCTCCAGGGAGCCTCTGCACTCCGGGAGGTGCCTTTCCCACGGGTCTGCCAGGACCACCACCCCCCAGGCTGCCTTGGTGGCTGGGAATCAGGGGAGTGTCCAGGCACTGCTGCTCGGGGCCTGCCAGGAAGAGCACAGCTCATCCCAGCTCTGAGGGCGGGCAGGGAGGAACGGCCTGTGCTGAAATGTCTGCACAATCTCTGCCTGCCTGGGCTCCAGCCGCCCAAGGCAGGGCTGTTCCCAATTTTGGCACCCAGCAAAGCACAGAAAGCAGCCTGGTGTCCATTAAGTGGTAGAAGTGGAGCAAATCTGTTGTCCTGGGGTCTTTCCTTCTTACACAAAGCTGCTCTTCTTGGCTTGTGCTTCCTGATGGCTACGAGAAGCTGAATTTCTTTGGGGTGGTTGTCACCCAGAGGGAGTGGGGCTGCTGAACCCCCCTGGGATTAGTTCCTCCAGCTTGAGGCAGAGCCTGTCTCTTCCACCACGGCTGCCCTGCTGCAAGTCCATACAAAACAACTGGCACCTGCTCAGTGGCCAACACCTCCTGGAGTGCACTGAGGGGGCAGAAAGTCGTGGGTGTGGGTGGGTGTGTGTGTGTGTGCAGAGTGCCCAAGGGCAGGGAGGAGCAGCTTCCTGGGCTTACTCCCCTTCTTATGCAGCACAGCTTGATAGGGATGGGAGCTGGTGCTCTGGCCACCAGCACCTCTGCCCTCGTGTGCCTCGGGATACAGGGAATGCATAAATTTGTCGTGAAGGAATAACCTGCACTGCTGAAACCCCATGGTAAGATGTGGCTATTTCAGGGCAGAGAGTTGCCCTGAGCAGAAGCACCGAGCCCACGGGGTCAGGAAATGCAAAACGTCATATTTCAGGTCAAATTCATATGCGAGAAGGTGCCAGAGGGCAAGTTTGTGTATTTAACACAAAACCAGTTCTGCAGTATCTCATCTGCTGAGCAGAGGGCTCAGGCTCTGGCTATCCTGCAGCTCATGTAAAACCAGAGGGGTTTTAGGCTGACAGTAAGTGTCCCTGTGGGAACTTGCCCAGCTCCTAGGACTTACCCTTCCTCTTGCAAAGCCCCATGTGACTGCTGAGTAAGTGCAGGGTTTCCTGTAGAAAGCACAGCCTCGCTCGCTGTTGCCTTGCAAAAAACTGGATGACTCTTTCCTCCAGCATCTGTCCACCTCCCCGAAGCATCCAGCACGCAGGGACGTGGCAGGAGAGGGGATGCTGACTGGAGCTGGGATTTCTCTGCCGGAGGCTGGCTGCTGTCAGGGGTGGGAAGCGCTCGCTGCGGCAGCTAATGCAATATTCAAGACGGCAGTGACAGTGCCAGCAGGTGCTGCTGGCTCAGAGGTCGGGTGGCATTTCTGTTCTTAGGGGCAGGGTATTCCGTGCGAGTTCCTGCGCACAGACCACCCTGTTCCCGGCCGGGAGAGCAGCTTGTCTCGCTCACAGCTCCCCTTGCTGGGGAAATGTGCTTTTGCAAAGGAGAAGGTCAGCGTGACCGGTGTGCTGGATGAAAGCTCCCTGCCAACAGGGAAGGAACAGGAGGAGCTGGTTTTATCTGTGGCGGGTGGATCTGTGGATGTGTGGTGGCTGCTGCCTGCACAGACTCCCAGCTAAGCCTCAGGCCACAGGCAACCTCCTCTTTTCCAGCCCAGCAGATCACCAGAAGAAGAGGGAAAGCTCTGCTGTGCTTTGCCCCAGCACACGAGCGAGGAGCGAGTCTGCAAACGCAAAATGCAGGTGCTGATTTCGGCTTTGCTGATGGTTTTATTTCTCCAGGACAGGAGGATGTGGAGCTGTTAACCCTTGGGTATGTGCCCCTCACAGGGGCAGGTACCAAGCTCAGGTTTGTGCCAGCGAGGATATGTTGCCGATGTCACAGGCCCTGCAAACAAGAGGAAGGTCGAGGATTTGCCGAAACTCATCCGGGCTTTGTGTCTCTCAGTGGGCTCTGCCAGCATGGGGAGCAGCACAGAGCCACCCACCAGCTCAGCCAGGCTGTCACTTACTCTGCTTCTTCTTTGGAGATTAGTTTCCCCAAGTATAAAACTTCTGCAATGAGAGACACCATGGGGTCGCAGTTCAGGCTGGCAGCTGCTGTCACATGGCCATCCCTGAGAGGGAAAGAGGAAGAATGTGGATCTCCTCAGTGTACATAGCTCAGCACAGCAGCGTCCTCGTGGCACCCTGACTGGAGACCAGCTGTATTTCAGAGGGCTTAGGGCAGAGTGGCTGGTGCTGCAGGATGCACAGGGACTTGTGGCAGATCGCCTGGCACTGCTGGGAGCTGGGCACTGAGCCTGGGAGCAGCGGGGCAGAGGGAGAGGAGACGTGTCCCAGGCTCCCTGCCCAGCTGGTGTCTCCATTGAAGCTCATCCTCTTCTCCTTCCCTGCCCTGCTTTGGTTTTCTCTGGAACCATCTCACTGCTGGTTCAGCGCCCAGCAGCCACAGGAGGTGATGTGGAGCCTCTGCGGAATCTCTGCAGGCTGTAAGGGAGAGAACCTTGCCCTGTTCCCGCAGCAGTGCTGTGTCAGGGCATGGACTGGCCATGGATTCACTCACTTGAGGTAAAAGATCAGGAACTTCTGTTGCTCCAGGCTGCCCTTCACAACAGTGTCCGTGTATCCCTTTCCACAGCCTGTGAGAGAGAATGTCACAGCCTGCTCAGGGAGACCTGGCACAGCAGCTGCCACCCATCCACCTCAGAGCCATCACAGGTAGGGACAGAGGGCACAGTGACTGGCTGGGGCAGAGCTGGGGAGCAGGCATGAAGGCCCTGGGCAAGCAGAACTGATGCAGAGCTGCACAATTGCATCGTGACCCTGAGCCTTTCCTTGGCTCAGAGGGGGAGGTCCTTCCTCCTTTGTGACCTCTAAAAAACTTGAGATCAGCGAAGAACAAGAGCTCTGGGTAACATTCAGGCCCAGAGCTCAAACTCACCATGGCAGCCAGTCCAAAACTTGAGATGCTTCAGGTGAACTCTGCAACCACCGTGTTTACAAACCCAGACCCAGCTGGGGGGTGAGCAATGGGCAGGGAAGAAGTTCTGCTGTTCCCACCTCTCTGCCCCCTCCTACCTGCATAGCGGATGCTTTTCCCAAGCAACGTGGTCCAGAAGAAGGGAACGGTGTGCAACTCCTTCTCTTTCTTCAGCATGTTTAAGGCAGCAACGTGACCTGTGACGAGACAACAGAGGAAATATTTTTCTCGAAGGTGCTCAAAGAAGTGTTCTCTGCCTCTTGTTATCCTGCCCTGTCCCTTCTGCCCCATTCCCTCCTTCAGGGGAGCTGGAAAGTGAGGTGGCTGAGCTCTCACCGTGGGCCTCAGCCACTTGTTGGTGATGGATGCTGGACCGGTCCCCCTTGAGAAGCGCTACTGGAAAGGACACCACGTCCCCCGCAGCGAAGACATTTGGGATGTTGGTTTGCATGTGCTAAGGGGACAAAGAGCAGTTAGTGCAAGGATGAGAGTGGAGGGATGGGGTTGGACCCGGAATACTCGGCTGGCACTCACCAGATCCACCAGGATGGCACCTTTGTCATCTCTGGCAATGGAGGTGCCCTTCAGAAATGCTGAGCTGGGGGTCGACCCTGCAGGGAGAGGAGCAGGGACAAAAGGCAGGGAGGAAATCTGGTCCCACAGCAAACATGTGCCCATGCTGCCTGCTCAGCCTGCTCAGAGCAGAGCACTTGCTCTGTTCAGCACTCAGAGCACGAGCTGTGCCTGGGCTGGTGCTGAGCTAATCCAGGGGCAATAAAACCAGGGCCCAGGACACAGCACGCTCCAGTAACACAGCAGTGACCTATGGAGCTCAGCAAGTGAGCCAAAGGCACTCTGAGAGTGTAACTGGCTCCCTTCCTCCAAGGCCAAGTGCTTGTTCATGAACTGCTGACTTTCTGCAGGTGTTTGGGGCCAGGAGGAAGGGCTGGATGATAACAGAACGGGAAAGAGACTGCAGGGAATGGTGTCCTGGGAATGAACTGTGGTGTTCTGGGCTTGCTGACTGTTCTCCCCATTCCCAAAGAGCCTCACTCTCCCAAGTGGGGTCTCTTACCTATTCCCACCACTACCACATCTGCAGGTAATTTCTCTCCGTTGGCAAGAACAGCCTCTGTGACCTAGGAGAGAAGGAAGAATCATTAATAAAGGGTTAAAAACACTGTCCTAATTCCGACAGCCTCCCTGCTGCTTCATTCTTTGCTGTCTTTTTTCTTCCCCAGGTTCGGATCACCTTGTCCAACTAATGTGTGTTGCTGGGAATGCAAAAGAAAATCACACTGCTGTCCCTGAGAGAGGAACACTTACTGGTGCCCTTTGAGCCCAGAGCTGTACTCAGTGAAAAGAAAGGGAGGGTCTAGACATGGGAGAGGACAGTCGAGATGTAGACACTGGGTTATACCTCAGTTTGGGATTTTTTCCCCTAAAATTAGTAGTTCAGGGATCACAGAGGCATGACTGACCTTTCCATACTTTCCTTTCAGCTCACAGAGTTCTGATTTCATGTGGAACTTCACCCCTTTATTTTGCAGCATCTGAAAAGGACTGGTTTCAGTATTCATTAGGAAATTCCAGGCTGTACTGCTATAAAAACAGCTCTGCCCAGCCAAAACCCAGGCAGACAGCACAGCTGCTGCTCCAGGCTGCAGAGAGGTTCCATTTGTGTCCCTGGCTGTTGCAGGGACCCTGGAAGCCTGGCTTTTCTCTGCAGTCTCAGTCAGGACTGGTGTGTGAGGTGGGTTTGGGATGAAGCAGGGCTGGGGAGTGTGATGTGTGCGTGGGGAGGTTGGGACCAGCCATGTGTGAGGCTGGTGCTGGGCACACAGAGTTATGACTCAGCACAGGGGCGAGGTTTCCTGGGCTGTCGTGGATCACTGGGCTGCCTGGATAATGTGTGTTCTCCCTCCTGGAATTTAGTGCCAGGTTTTCCTAACCTTCATGGCGACGCCTCCAACCTGAGGACCCAGAGCGTGCTGGAAAGGGAACTCCTCTCTTTCCACCACTGAGACGGTACCAGCCTTGTCTGAGAGGAAGGCAGCCACCTCCATTCCTGCAAGGGAAAGGCATGCCCAAGGTAAGCCTGCTGCAAGCATCAACCTGTATCCTCCTGCTTGGAAATCTTTTCCCCTTCCAGGAGAGCAAATCTGATGTGTTGCCAGTGCTTAACTGCTTTGCTATGCATTTCTGGGCTGAGGTATTTAGCTCCCCACTGTCTTTGTTCTTGTGCACTACAGACCTGGATATTAGGAAATGCAAAGAGCAGCTCCTGGTTTTGAACAAAATAGCCCCCTTTCTGTGCCTTGCCTCCTCGCTTTCCCAATGCTTCTGAGGAATCCAGCTCCTCTGAAGGACAGTGACCTTTTATAAGGCACATTTCCCTCTGTCCTTGTGCAGGAATTGTTTATAGCTCTCAAAGTTTCTGGCTATCAGAGGAAAGAACGAGTGGGTGCTGCGTAATGCACACCCCCAGCAGCTACAGGGCTCCAGGGAGGATCCCAGCTGGGTAGAAAATGAGCATCCCTTCCCTGAGGGCCTCTGGTTAATCTGCACAGGCAACAGAAGTGCTCACTGATAGCTTGATACCCACTCCAGCCTGGTACCTACGAATGAAGCTCCTACGATCACCAGATTCTTCCCAGCTGCCAGCTCCAAGATCTTGCTGGAGTCTTCTGGGGTTTGGAGAACGCACACGTTCTGCAGGTCTGCACCTGGGACTTTGAGGTAGCTGGAGCTGAAAGAGAGAAAATCCAGATGCATCTCATGATCAGAAATCAAGCAGAAAGAACGAGGAGGGAGCACAAGCCCATGGCTGTGTCATCCCATCCTGTCCTTTCATCTCATTTCCTACCACCTCCCTCAAACAACTCCAATTCCACGTCCCAGTGTTGACCCATCCTGTCCTGCCTCTAATTCTGTGTGTGGCAAATGCTTTGTGCACTCACTGGCTGCCTGTTGCAATGAGCAGTTGATGGTATTTCTGAGAGGAACCATCCATGAAGTGGACCTGCTGCTTCTGGAAATCCACCGACACTGCCTGCAGGAGAGAGGGGTCAGAGATCAGGCAGGCACCTCTGACCCACTGGTGTCCTGCCTGTCTTGCCTGTGGCCGTGTGCCTGGTTTCTGGACACTCAGGTGAGATGAGGGATGCTGGGGTCCTCTCTCCCACTTCCTAAAGGTCCATCCATGGGCTGCACAGACCAGTGTTACACCCAAGGTATGGACACCATCCGTAGCACTGGCCTGGGAATGCTGTCCCAGAAGATAACACGTGTATTTAGGAGAGCTCTAATTTATAGAATCATAGAATGGTTTGGGTTGGAAAGAACCTTAAAAACCATCTCATTCCACTCCCCTACCAGGGGCAGGGACACCTTCCACTATCCCAGGTTGCTCCAAGCCCTGTCCAACCTGGCCTTGAACACTTCCAGGGATACAGGGGCAGCCACAGCTTCTCTGGGAAATCTGTGCCAGGGCCTCACCACCCTTATAGTAAGGAATATTTTCCCCTCACCATGGCAGGAACAGGATCAACGATTGAAGACTAAGCTCAGCTTCTCTGGTACCTCTTTCTCTGTCCAGAACTCTATGCCCTGAGCATCAAGGAATTCAGGTTTCCTCAGGTAGATGTCCTCAGCTTTCAAGTCCATTTCCTGAAAGCACAAGAGAAATGTGAAATAAAGCATTTCTTACAAACAGCAATTTTCCTTCAGTGTTTACTGGTAAACCAGTTTACATAAGAGGTAAATTTCCCATTGGTCAATCACAGCTCCCCACACTGCCCCATCCCCAGCCTCTTGTTCTCCCTCAGAAAAACCATCAACTCAAACTCTAGCGGGAAGAACTCAGTAAAAGGAGAGAAAACCGTCAACTTGTAGTGGACTCTGACCAAAGACTTCCTGGGAGGGAGAAGTGAGATGTTTTCTGGAATTTTTACCCCTGTTCCCCGTGAGTACCTCAGCACTCCTGCTTTGCCAGCACGGCTCACTCAGTTGCTCAGCCTGGCCCTCAGCGTGGGCCACGTCCCACGGGGTGCCCAGGCACAGTCCTTGCCCTTGTCACACACAAACCTTGCTCAGTTTGGACTTGTCGTATGGAACATGCTTCTCTTTAGTGGCCATGATGATCCTGCCAGTAAAACCCTCCTGGCGAAGCGTCTCTGCGCACACCAGGGCAGCCACACCTAGAGGAGATGCTCATCTCAGCCCTCTTACACACCACCGTGGAGTAGGAGGAGCAGGTAAGCCCTCCCTGGAGAAGAGAGTGGCAGCTCACAGCGTGTGGAGAGGGCACAGCACAGACCCCTTCACTGACCTCCCCCCAGCAGCAGCATCGTGTTCTGGTTGACAAGGCACCGCCTGCTTCTGTCCTTCACCCTCAGGCTGTTTTCAAGGTCCTAGAAAAAAATGAGAAAAGCTGAAGTCATGCCCAGCCCAAGGTGCTACTCGTGCTCAGTGGCAGCAGGTAAGGTTCAGTACCTTCTTTTTTGCTGTAACAAACACCTTTCCATCTTCCACTGTTACCTGAAGGGGGCAAGGAGAGGGCATTTAAGTGCTGCATCCATGGGGTTGTGTTAGGAGCTCACCTAACTCTGATCTTGGATGTCAAATGATGCTGAGCTTTCCTCCTCATTCCAAGAGCACTCAGGAAGAGGTGTAAACCATTTTTATTTCCCACAAGAGCTGTGCTGGCTGTGAGGGACACCAGGATATATGGCATCACCTTTGATTCAAAGGAGCTTTAGGGCAGGGAGTTACAAGATCCCAAGAAATCATCCCGTGTCTTGTAGCTCTGTATGACCTGGACTACAGAGGGGTGGCCAGGGCAGGGGGCTTTCAGCTGGTGTCAGGAATACAGAGCTTGTGAGAGAGAATGAATGTGAGAGGTGCAGAGGACACAGCCTGAGATGGGAGGAGAAAAAGCCAAGAGGTCACCTTAAAGCAGGAGATACAGTCCAGAGAAGGGTATTCCTCGATGTCCCCAGTTCTGATGTTAAAGCAGGCGCCGTGCCAGGGGCAGCGCAGCCTCTCCCCTCTCAAGACCCCTGCAACAGAAACCCCCCACAGCTGGGCAGTGAGAACCAACCTCCTCAACGTGGCTTCTCCCCCTGCCCCGAGCTGGGGTTACCTTTGCTGAGCGGGGCACCATAGTGGGGACATTTGCTGCCCAGGGCGCTGAACTCCTTCCTGTTCCTCACCAGCAGCACTGGGTAACCAGCCACCATCACCTCCAGGAGCCTGTGGGAGAGGTGGGGAGGTGGGCACACAATCACCTGGCTCCCCACCACCACCACCAGGTACTCACTCTCCATCTCCAACGTCGTCCTCCCTGCAGACCTCGGCGGTGACGGTGTTGGTGTCATCGCTGTCCATGCCGGTGGCTGCTGGGAGCTGGTCAACACCAGGCACTTAAGAGGTCCCAAATTCCTGATACAGCATGAAAAAACCCTCAGCTGGTGGAAAACGCCCATTTCACCCCCTTTTTTAACTTTGTGTCCAAACCTGAAGTCCATTCCTCTGTCCTTTTCTCCTCTGACTTAACCCACTTTTTGTTTTGAGCCCTGTGTCCCATTAAACTGCAGTACAGGGTTAGTCAGGAGATATGATTAATGACTGTTGTAAATAAATGCAATTATTTATGGGGAGGTGCTGCTGCCTTATCCCCTGTCTCCCCCAAATTGGGTCTAAAGAGCCACTTCAGCATCTTGAAAACCTCTCTAAAATTTTTGCAGAGATGTTATTCATGCTAATTGCCATGAAAGCATTAATCCCTGCCCAAAATACCTCTTGGGCTAGAAAAGTGAGAAAACCCTCAGTCCTTAATGCTCTCCCTGCCTTAGCAATCAGTTGAGAGGCTGATTAGGAATCTCCCTCTCTGTTTCAGAGAAAAAAAAGCAAGAAATGGAGCAGAGTGGGGGCCATTTGAGCAGGTTTCAGTACAGGGTGGTGACTTGCTCCTGCAAATCCCTGCTGCAACACTGCCCCGCTCCCAGGGCCCTTGGGAGAAGCATTGGTGGGTACTCACCTGGTCCTGCTGGGGGGGTTCTGTCACCTGTCCCCCAGCTCAGAAAGCCACCACCGCTGCCGTCTGCGACTTTCTCCTCTGAGGTGACACCCTGGTGTCTCACCACAAGTGCTCTGCCCGCTGCCAGCCCACGGCTGGTGATGCTCTCCCCGCGTTGCACAACGTCCCCATCTGTCAGGAGATGCATCTCCTGGAAGCGGCCTCCTGCCAGGGACTTTTATCTGATTTCTGCAACTGGTCTGTGCCTAATTAAGTGCATTTTGCTTGGGTTTAGAGTTGCAAAAGAACTGAGGACACATAGGAATTATGGTGCAGGTGTGGTGTAAAGACAGGGTGCGTCATGGGCAGCATGAACAGAAACTCGAGTGGATGCAGTGACATCCCACTGCAACTTTCCACTGCCCCTTCTCCCCATGGAAAGCACTCTAGCTCAACAAAAGGTATTTTTGCAGCACTTCAGAATGATATTACTACTTTTTACATACTTCAATAACATTTAAAATTCCTTAATTCGATATTTCAGTAAGATTTTTCTCTGCTGATTTTAAGGCACGTGAAGTGTTCAGCACCTTTGCACGTGCCTTACGGCCCAGCTCTGCTCCTGCTTCAGTCACCAGTGTCCAGGCACACGATCCCATCATTGCATGGAGCATGAAGGATGGCATGGAGCAGGGTGCTGCTTTCTGCACTATTTTTTATAACAGAGTGGGAGTTGCAAAAAACCAGGAGTAACGCCTACGCTGTTTGTGTCTACTCTCGTTCTTATCTCTATTTCACAGTCAGTATGTTTCACAACTTTAAAATATGCCTTAAATACTAAGGGGGGGAAAAGTTACCAACAGCGTGCTTCCAGCATTTCCCTTGCAGAACCAGAGGTTCGCAGGGATCAGCTTTCTGCACGTGGCACATTCCCAAATCCAGCAGTGGGGGGGATAAAAATCCTTTGGTGGGCATGGCCTGGAGAAGATGGCAGGCACAGGTATGCTGGGTAAGTGCAAGCTGGCTCGTTTGGGAAGCAGGTCACTTTTTTGGACCCACCAAGCTGTGACCACCCTTCCTTCAGATCCAGGTGCTGGGACGCTGCTGGGTATGGATGATCCTGGCCCACGGGGGATGCACGCCCACGATGGGCACAGGTACGAGGTATTTTCTCACAGCACCAATGAGCAGCTTCTGGGCTCTGCCCTCCTGGCCAGGAGCCTGAGTGTGAAGTAATTTTGGCTGCCAAACGTCCGTATTTAAACTCTCTGTAATTATTCCCCCAGAAGCGCGTTCCCACGTGGAGAAGCAGCAGCCCTGGTGGAGGCATTCTCTGACTCAGCAGAAATCGCTGGAGAAACATCTGCTCGGGGAGGAAAGCTGCAGTGCACAGGCAAAGGGGTAGGTACAGAGGTGTGCAGCTTTGGGAGGCTTTGGGATGAGCCAGGTGGAGCTTGATCCTATATGATGGCATTGATATTACGGGGCTGGTTTGACCACTGGGTGCCCATGGATGCTGCTGGATGTGGCTGGATGCAGCTGAGCACCCAGGGAAGGGCTTTTGTAAAATGCAAAGGGATAAAGGCAAAACAAAAAGCCCTTCTCTGATGAAGGCAAAGATGATGGGAAAGGATAGAAAGTGGAAAGGGGCATTGCATGTCAGAGGGCAGGTTTGGGTTGGCTGCAGGGATGCTGGGTTAGTGTGTGTGAGAGCCAGCACTCGGGAACACACACAGTCCCCTCGAGGGATTCAGGCAGCAGGATGGGACTGGAGGCAGATTTTCAGGAAGATGCTCTGTAAGCATGTTTTGGTCCTCTGTTAGGTAACCCAGAGGTAATTGCTCAGAGTGATTTAGACCTCTGCTTGTAACACAGATCAGGATTAAACATAGGAAGGAAGAGAGCAAAAGGAAGTGGTGCCCTCAACCGCAAACAGAGCCCAGGTGGGCATCGAATGTCTCCAACCAGACCTGCCACCCACATCGGTGCTGACTCACATGGGCTGCTGAGCTGACTTTGTGTTTTATCAGATATCTTCATTTTTGCTCTCCAGTGCTGCCAGCGCTCCAGAAATTCAAGTTTAGAGGCGAAGATTTAAGGGGTGTAACTCTCCTCCCTTCAAGCCCCCTGCTACCTCCTCCCTGCTACACCAGCTGGTGTAGCACATTTTTTCCACACTGTAAAGCAGTTGTGGCTCTGTGGATGTGTCCCTGTCCCATCTTTGCCTGTCCCCAGCTCACCCAGCTCAGGGCCCTCCCCTGCCCTGGCAGACCTGCCAGTTTTAACGAGCAGTACCCACGGAGTCAAATCATATGAAAACTGTGCAGTCACAGGAAGAGGAAGCGAGGTGAAACCTGCAGCAGAGCTAAAATGATTAATGGGGCACTGCTCTCAGAACAGCTTGGTTTGTGATATTAATAACGAGAGAATTCAGGAGGGAACCTAACCTGTTCCAAGCTGCAGAGCCGGCAGCAGCAGGAGATGCAGTTAGGAAGCTCCTGTGCTTATATTTGTAACACAGGAGGAACTGAGTGGGCTCAGCAAGGTATAATGCTGCATGAAGTGGGTGTAGGGGCTGGGACATGCTTCCACCTTGGAGGACTCATTCTGAACCTGTCTGAAATGCAAAAAAACCCATGTAATCATGTATACATCATGATGTAACCTTAAAGCACACACATATTCATCAAACATTACTTAAGCTTGAGACTAGTGAACAGGTAAAAAATGTTTATCCCACAAGGGAAGAAGACAAGGGAAAAGAAATATTTAGTGGGAATTCATTTGCTTATAGGGTAAACATGTGGTGTTTCACATTCTCTTCCTAAGCATTCATGTCTGGTAATGGTGAGAGATGGGATACAGGCCTGGCAGACACCTGGCCCCACCACAAGGAAAGAAGGAACCTGAAATCTTACTAATAGCAGAAGATAAATAGTTCAGACAGTAGACGAATCTGGGGCATGCCATCTACTGAAAGCAGAGGAGGACTGTAAGGATCTGCCTATCCTGCTGTGCTTGAAGGAGTTTTGGCAGTCAACGCATCTGCCAATGGAATTTTTTTCATCCCATGGCATACCTGTGCAACTGGAGTGAGGAGAGAGCACATCCTTCGTGCCACTGGATCATGACAGCTGGCGCAGCCCAAGCCCTTGAGAAACAGTTGAGCCTGCAGCATCCTCAGGGATGTGCTGCTGACACAGGTTTCTTCTTCAGGTCCCTTGTGCCCTGAGAAAAAAAGAGTTCCAGTCCTGGGAAAAAGGAAGAAGGCCAAACACAGGAGCATCCAGAGCAACCTGCCATGGGGTTGTTTGTCACGTGGGTGGTTTGGGGGCCATTCCCACATGCCAGGCTGCAGAAGGCAGCTGCTGTGCCCGGTCTGCAGGTGGTATCTGGCACCAGAGCACCCCAGCCCTGCAAAGCTCCCAGGAGACACTGCATTATTCACGGAATGCTCTTGGGAAGGATGACCAGCCTGGGCAGCAGAACACCTGCAGGGCTGGCCAAAACACTGTGAAAAGGAAGGGAAGAGCCTTCCCTCGAGAGTTTGAGCTCACAGACTTGAGCAGGGTGAACAGATGGGCTGTGGTGCAAGGCCAGGTGATTTCTTCTGCCAGACAAGTTTAATTCCTGAGGTCAGTGGTAAAGTGATGCACACCCTGGCATTTCTTGCATTAAATCCTGGAGCTGCTCACCACACTCACAGAGACTGAAACCCCTTTCTCCTGTGTCTACAGCAAGTATATCCCCCGTTCCACCTGGAGAATATCCAGCTTCCACATCAGGAGGGTGCTGCTGGCTGGAAAGAGTGGATGCTCAAGTTTGCATTGATTTCAGCTCTCTTCACAGCTGCCTCTGCAATGCCTGGGCATGCTTTGCCATGCAGAACATGCATTTTGCACAGCAGATCCTTTCATAAGTGTGGAGTTACAGACTTCCTCAAAGAAGATGTGGATATCTCAAGAAAAACATTCCTATATCATCTGACTTCCTATGGCCTAGCAGACAGAGTGGTTACACAATTTAGAGAGGGATGGAGACAACAGCTAATTAAAGTTTGGAAGCCAAGCTGTTTGATTTGTTTTGAGCTCTTGGACTCCTCAGATTATTTCAGGTGTGAGCCAGGTCTGGCATTAGATGAGCAGATGGGCTTTATGACTCCCTGGATGCAGAGAGGCAGATTAAGAGAATGAGGCTTTCCAAAAACAGGAGCATAACTTTTGCCTCGTCAGAAGCTCCCACATTTGCTGGCTGTGGAGAACCCTGGATGATGTTCGGGAGCAGAGCGGGCTCCTCCTTGTGTAAAGGGTGGTGGAGCTGCAAAAGCACACTCCAACACTCATCCAAGAGTACTGGGGAGCATCTGGGGGGACACAGTTTGTGTGGAAGAATTCATAATGCTGGGTTATCACTAAACTGATGGCTCTTTACTGTGGAAAATGGGTTCTCCCTCTCAAATGTGCTGCAGAGAAACACCAGTCTGGGAGAGGGAGACAAAAGCCACTGTTTGGTTATTGAAAAAATTGCTGTACCCCTCGATTTACACCCTGGATGCTGCTGGAAAGCCCCGCTATGGGATCAGCTGTGGTCCCCACGGCATTATGGGATGGACCTGGGCACGTCCTTGCTGGCGTCTGTAAGGAGTCCCCTGCCCTGCTGGGAACAGGCAGCAGCAGCGACCCGTCACCAGGCTGAGCTGCCTCCCTGCAGAAAACGAGGTCGTTTGGGGACGCTTGGAAAACTTCTCGAAATCTGGGTGAAAAAGGCAATATCTCCAAATAAGGTGTGAATGAAGAATCCCATCGGATCGGGCTCCCGGTTCTCCAGCGGGCGTGCAGGGACCTCTTGTGGCAGCTCGAGTCCCCGCTCTTCTGTGCGGGTTCCTTTGGGACGAGCCTGGACGACAAGCCTGTGGCATGTGGCTGAATATTTGGCCTGATTTGGTGTCAAGGGACTTGTTTGTAACTGGGCTTGGAAGCCTCCAGTTCCAAAACCGCCCCCGGTTAATGCCATTGTTGCAGAGGAAGGAAGACAAGGGAGAAAAGGCTGGAAACAGGGCTTGTAAAAAAACCACAGCTCAACGGGAAGTCCTGGTAAAATTAAGTAAAATCTGGGCTAAAATGATCCAAAAAGTACTTTGCATGTACTTTGCACTGTTGCCAGTGCTCCAGCAGTGGGATCAAAGTCCCTGAACGAGAGGCTCAATCAATCACGGTTTAAATTCCTTCCATGCAGAAGTGGTAGGTAAAAGCTCTCCAGTCTCCAGAAACATTTTAACTATTCCTGTTCCCGATCCGAGCCAAATGTTCATCTTTAGAACTACAACACTGCGAATGGAGGAGCCTCTGGGGCAAACAGGGCCGGGCTTTCAGGTGCTCCACGGTCTGGGATTTTCCCTGAAGGCAGGTGAAGGGCAGAGCTGTCTCCACGGAAAAGGGCAGTCGAGAATTTTGAGGCTAAAGTACCGCAGATGACTTCTCATTCGGAAATCGGCTCTCTGCAATTTTATACTCAATTAATTGTGAAATGATTTTTCTCCTCGGTGCCCTGAGCAGCCCGGCACGTCTCCAAGGCATGTCTCTCTTTCCTCAGCATATCTTATGCTAAACAGAAATGTCTTTGCATTTGGTCTTCTCAGTAACAGATTAGCCTACGAGATCCTTCAGGTCCTAATACACGAGATTATTTATAATCCCCCGAGCACTCAGGGCTGCAGATTACTCCAGGCAGTGTCTCCCTGCCATGTAACTGTTATGAAATTACATTGTCTTGCTCGGCTTTTAAGCAAATTTCTGCAGCATGAACAGATGCTTTTCTATCAGTTGAGTCTGTGATAGAATCGTTTAGGCTGGAAAAGAACCTCACCCCTCTCCTGGTCTGATTTAATTACTCCCCTCCTCAGTGCAATTACTCGTAGATGTTTTAGTGTCCGTCACTCCAGAGCCAGGACAGCGACTGAAAGCTCAGGCACCACACGTTTCTGTTTCAGCAAAGAGGAAGTAGAAGATTTCATCCAAAATTAATACCTCAGAGGAGAGGCAGAGTTTGACATTAATCGGTGTGTACACGGTGACTCATCCTGCCGGCAGAATGGAAGCGAGGGCTGTGCAGCAGCTTCTGGTGGAGACATCAAAAAGCAACAGGGGAGCGATCAAATTACGGGAGGCTGGAAAAGCAGCGTAGTCGTAGGGTAGAACTAAAACTGTGGCTACGGGATCGTGAATTCCCACAATCCCCAGACGGCAGAGGTGGGGTATCCCAGGCGTTGGGGAGCTCCTCTCGCGACGAGACACGGGACATGGGGGATGGAGGATAACAGGGCTGTGGGCAGAGCATTATTTTGGCAGGGCAATCAGATATTTTTCCTTGCTTGGTGTGCGATCAGCCCCGGTAGTGTGGTCTGTGGGGATCCTGACTCAGGGTGAGAGGTTTGGAAACCTCCAGCCCAAGGAAACGGTGACGGGCATCACCTGCCGGGGATGCTTTGGGGTGAAGGACGCGGCCGCAGCACCTCATTGGTGAGACGTCTGGCCAGCCGGTGTCACCGAGGTGGAGGAGGAACCTCAGGGCAACGAGGAAAGTGTGCCCAGCTCCCGCACAGCGACAGGACACGTGTGCCCCGCTCCGTGCCACGCTCCCAGCCGGCTTTTGGGCTGGCGCCGCTTCTGCCGTGCGATGCCGGGGAAGGCTGACGCACCCCCGGGGGCTTAATTCCCGTCTCCCCCCTCCCCTTGTCCCACGCCCCCGAGGGGAAGCGCTGCCGCTGCGTGTCCGCATCTCTGCCCGGGGGG